CATATAACACCTGTCCTGAAAGACCTACATTGGCTCCCGGTACGTTTCTGAGCACAATTCAAAGTGCTGGTGCTGACCTTTAAAGCCCTAAATGGCCTCAGCCCAGTATATCTGAAGGAGCGTCTCCACCCCCATCATTCAACCCAGACACTGAGGTCCAGCGCCAAGGGCCTTCTGGTGGTTCCCTCCCTGCGAGAAGTGCAGTTACAGGGAACCAGGCAGAGGGCCTTCTCGGTAGTGGTGTCCACCCTGTGGAATGCTGTCCCATCAGATGTCAAAGAAATAAACAACTATCTGACTTTTAGAAGATATCTGAAGGCAACCCTGTTTAGGGAAGTTTTTATATTTGATGTTTTATCATGTTTTTAATTTTCTGTTGAGAGCCGCCCAGGGTGGCTAGGTAAACCCAGTCAGATAGGCAGGGTATATGTGTGTGTGTGTGTGTGTGTGTGTGTGTGTGTAAATAAATAAATAAATAAAAATTATTATTATTATTATTATGCTGTCTACCACTGAGGAGAAACATACAGAAGAAAGCAATCCTCAGGTATCTTGTTATTTAGGAATTTGAAGATCAGCAACAGTACCTTGAACTGAGCTCAGAAAGAAACTAGCAGACAGAGTAAATCATATAAAGCTGGTGTGATGGGGACAAAATGCCTAGCACCTGTCAGCATCCTGACTGCCATATTTCCCACTATTTGCAGTTTTGGAACAGTTTTCAAGGCCTGCCCCACAGACAGCACAGTACAGTACAGTAGTCTAATCTGGACGTCAAAAGGGCATGGATGGCTGTGGCAAGGTCAGACTTTGTCACGAAGGGCTGCAGTTGATGACTTGGACTGCAACCCTCACCCAACTTATCTCAGAGCAAGTAACCATTGAATTCAATAGGGTTTATCTAAGCAGACATGGTTAAGATGGCGCTAGAAGTTAGGTGTGTTTTATTCAAGCAAACCATGTAAGTTTTATGCAGGTACAAGGTCTTCTTCCAAATGAGAGAGCTCATTAGTTTACACTAAGATACATGATGTAAAAATGCAATCATATCTGAATAAATCCATGTAAATCCATGTAAATTAATTCATTTGCCATTCCTGTACTTCCAACTGTTGAAATGCAAGCCTCAGATTTATGATGCTTTCCTGGTTGCTCTTAATAAAGTATGGAGGAGAAGCAGATCCTACATATGAAAATAAAAAATGACTGGAGTTTCATTCTGGAGTTGCAGAGAAGTCATATAACGTAATTAAAAATACTACAGTGAAGATTGCTATCTTTTTTGGCATTAAATTAACATACGCTATAAAATAAAATGACCAGCCTTGCAAAATGGGGAAAGCCGGCCAATGTTTCCACGGTAGAGGTTCCATAAAATAGTGGAACATCCTGAACACAAACGGTATCTCTTAGATGTTAAACAGAGCACTTTTAAAAAATGTTTTAGGGTGGGAGGGTCTTTAACCCTGGTGGGAGGCAAAGGTAGAGATGCTGGAAGCCAGAGCTTATAAGTATTTCAAACTAATATGTAAAATTAAAGGATAAATGAAAACGCTCGTAAAAGGGGATTTTTGAAGATAGGGCGAATACTGCCATACATATATTCCAGCAGACTGGCTGTGTAAAGAAGCAATATATACAAGTTGCTCCAGGGAGGTCTGAGGAGGCTTATCTCCCCTCAGAAAAGGCAAGGAGAGGAAGACATAAAGAACAAAGAATTCATTTTACCAGTTCCGGCTTTCAAAGAACAAAACAAACAAGAGTAACCCACAAACTGAACCATTGCCTACCTGGCCAAGAAAAAGACATAGACAGAAGATGCCATCCTGTACATATCTTCTTTTTAAATGGGAACACCCTATACATATCTTCTCTGGAGTAAGCCCTGCTGCGTTCAATGGGACTTACCCCCAGGTAACTGGGTATCTTTGACTGCAATCCTACACACACTGATCTGGAAGTAAGACTGACTAGACACAATGAGACCTTGAGAACAATTCTAACTGGGGAAGGAAGTGAAGAGGTGGACAATCTGCTGCTTCCAAACCCCTGTCACCTTGAGTGAAAGGTGGGTGGCAAACTTACACTTCTCCCTTCACAGAAACACTGTGGTCTCCCTGCAGTTATCTCATTGGTTTCAAAAAGGGAATGGTTTCAGGGCCTCACACTGACTACCACTGTGATTTTCCACTGCTGGTGGCAAATCTCTGACTGCTCTGATATTTCTGAATAAAAATATACAACCTTTCAAAACTGGATGTCTATGATGTTTGATGTGGCTACTTGAACAAGTTTCCCATGTCCTGTATGAAACAATAGGATGTCTTTGATCTATTAGAGACAAGAGAAACACCTCAAGAACCTTTCCTCATTATCTTTACAACTCGGTGAGCTACATTTACTCCTTTAACTAGTAGGGGACAGAGACTGGGCTACCATGAGAAAAGTTAGTGAAGGGAGAGCACACTTGTCTCTAGCCCTCCTCCATACCCCGGGACAGCAACAAAAATGTTGGCTCCGGGCTGGCTGGGTAGCTTTCTTCTTGTCAGATAGCAGAGTTTTTATGAGGGAAAAGAAAAGAGGGATCTTCAGGTGCCCAGGGAAGTGACTTATAGGCCAGTGCTTTTCAACAAAGGTCTTCAAGGGTGCTGTGAGATGAGGGTCACATCCACACCATGCATTTAAAGGACACAGCTTCCCCCAAAGAATCCTGGGAATGGTAGTTTATCCCTCACAGAGGTAAAATTCCCAGCATCCTTAGCAAACTACAGTTCCCATGATTCTTTGGTCCTTTAAATAGATGACATGGATGTGACCAAAACTGCAGCTACAGCCAAACCACTGTGCTTTTTGCACTCTCTCTTTTCAAGGGAATGCATTCGCAGTGCCCTTGAAGAAGCCCTATGTCAAAACATGTTGGGTCCGGTGACAAATGTTAAAGTGCAGGAGCTCATCATGACAGATTCCACAGCCACGCCCCCAAGGGGAGTCCAAACATGCAGACAGCTGTGCTGCTCTGTTAAGTCTAATAAATTACTTCCTGATGCACCTGAAAGCTTCTTTCTTTTTCCACCTGCATTTGTGATCTCCAGACATTTCTTCCAGATTATTGGTGGCCCTGACCTCTCTTCACTTCTTCTCACCCCTCAAATGTTTTAAGCCTTTACGCTGAGAAAGCACTGGCAAACAGTTATGCCAGCAATAGGATTGGAACAGCCCTCCACCCTGGCTGGATCAAGTACATCTATTATGCCCCAGATAGGAACTGAGACATTCCTGCCAGATCCTAGGAACTGCTCTGCTCTATACTATATTAATAGGATTGGACTGTTAAGCTGGCTTTTACAGCCCACAAAGTGCTACACTAGGGTGAATACTGGTTGCAATTTTGTTTTCTTTTGTGGTCTCTTGCATTTGCACACGTGAGACTCTTGAATAAGTAAAGTTGGTTCCAAACACAATAACTCCTTTGCTTTTGGCCCTAACTAATCTCCAGTGCAATAAAAATGAAATAAATACCACTTAAAATGAAGCATTTCTAGGTTTTGTTTCATTTTGTTTTACTCTCTCAAGGATGCAGTGTTCCCTTGCATATCAGTCAGAAAAATAACAATCTAAATTTCCAATACACCAATTACACGTTGTCTAAACAGTCCTTTTGTATTCTCTTTCTGACTCTCTGTGCCAAGAAATGGGGAATAAAAAAAAGATGGCATTAGAGGATATTCCAGAATGGAGGGAAGCTCCACACCATCACCATGTTAAATGATGTGCTTCAGCAATGTTCTATGCTCACAAGAGGGCTAGACAAATCTGCCCATTTTACTTCCTCTCAGTTTTCCCCATTTATCCTAACGTCATGCATTTTTGTCTTTCTGTTTCACTTTATAGGCAGTTTCACCTACTATGTGAACTTCTGCATGCAATTTTCGGATAGACAATTGCTCCACAAAGGTGAGAGAAGTGCAAATTACGGGGTACAGTTGATTTTTTTTGTGCAAATTGGGAAGGGGGGTGTAAAAATGTGAACCCAACTGAATTTCTCCCCTACTTCAGAATTATTATTTTTTGTAAATTTTCAGGTATGCAGCCTAAGCTATGTGTGTGTAGCCAAACAAAAGCTAAGCACTTGGCTACAGCTGCCTCCACAGTTGCTCTGCAGGTCTTACTGGTAAGGACATAGTGTCATTCCAACCCACTCAATGGCAACATCCTTTTCCTGCTTCTGTGCACACATCACAATACCTTTTCAATCACTGCTGAAGCTTAGAGATACTTGTGACATTCTTCAGAGGTGGGCTCATATACAGTCTTTGGGGGCTCCTCAATGCCTGCCTCAAATGAATTCTCTTCAGATCAAAACCCAACCTGCAGAGGAATTTTTGGCTTCCTCAACCCACCCATACTCATACTTTGCAAAGGACTGTATTCTGTTTCTCTATCTTTCATAGAAGAATCCTTTATTTGAAGGCTTCTTCTGTTTGAAGAGCTGCCCAGTTTAAAGAACCCTAATAAGAGAAAGCATCAGCTGTGAAGCTGCCCATCAACCATCAACACCTTTACAGCAGACTGAGCAGGCATATGGGTCACAGGGTCACAGTCTATTCTAGTATGGTGATATATATTGAATTCAATTTAAATTAGAATAATCATATGCAAATTTTATGCAAATCTGTACCCCATTCCCCCCCCCTTTGGTTTGGTGATGAATTTCCTTTTTTTGGGGGGGACACATAAGTGGCCACCTGTTTGATAACAAATATGAGTACCAAGCTGGGGAGTGGTGGAAATGAAGGGTCAATCCCTGTGGTAACCTGTGGTAACCATCCATGTCCTTCACCGAGTGTTAAAGAAGAAGGAAAGCTACAAAAATGGGATCCTGGTTAACTTGAAAGGATTATAAGGGGGAGGGGGTAATATCTAAGTATGAATCTTAGCTAAGACTGTTTTAATTTTAGCTTTATTAACTGCATCAAAATAATTATGCTCTATCATCTTACCAGAATTTTTATTGGTCTTATTCTGTCGGCTCTTTACTTGCTCAGTCCATAATGTAGGGTAACGCGAAGCTATATCTAGAAAATTAAGAACAAAATGAGATCATTATAACGGAAAATATATATATATTTTTAAATAATTTTTATTAATTTTCCAAACATGTAATAAAAACAAACAATAAAACAAAACAAAACATACAAACAAATAAACATGTATAATTTCATAAACTTATTTTCCTTCACCTTATTTCCCGGACTTCCCCATACCTCCCTTTTTCTGCATCCTTATTTTTCCCTTTTGACAGCAACCCTCCATTTAATTAATTGATTCATCTTCATTATAATTTCCTTAAATTTATGATTTACAGCTGCAATTCTCTGTTTCTTAACACCATAACATCTCAGCACTCCTGAATGTTACAACAATTTTTAAGGTATATTTTAAATTTCTTCCAATCTTCTTCCACTGTCTCATTCCCCTGGTCACGGATTCTGCCGGTCATCTCTGCCATTCCCATGTAGTCAATCACCTTCGCTTGCCATTCTTCCAGAGTGGGTAGCTGCTGCGTCTTCCAATACTTTGCTAGAAGAATTATTGCTGCTGTGGTAGCATACATGAAAAAAATTCTGTCCTTCCTTGGCACCAATTGGCCCACCATGCCCAGGAGAAAAGCCTCTGGTTTTTTAGAAAATGTCCATTTAAGGACCTTTTTAATTTCATTATAGATCATTTCCCAGTAGGCTTTAATCTTCGGGCAGGTCCACCACATTATAACGGAAAATATAAGTGATGACAGACTAGATTTATTGCAAGAAAATATTAAGTAACCTAATAAACACAGCAAGGCTGATTTCTTATTGAGAAACAAGTTTAGAAAAGGTTGAATAGTGATATTTAAGAGGAGATGAAGTGCATGTTATGAATAGAAATCATGTCCATATTAAATGACACTTTAAATTGAAGATTTAATGGGATAGTCAGTGCAGTTCATATTCTTCAGTCATAAACCCTGCTGTGCTTATGAAGTCCATCACAGTTCCTTATTGAGCTATGTGAGCTTTGGAGACCAACAAAAATTATTGTACATACCGCCTTAAAGGCTGAAAGTGTATGCATTGTGGCATAAGCTTTCACTGATGGCATACAAAGAGAAGAAAAGCCTTGCTGGATCAGGCCAAAGGCCCATCTAGGCCAGCACCCTGTTCTCACAATAGCAAAAAACAGGCAGGACCCAAGTTTCAACAACACTCTCCCTACTTGGATTCCCAGAGACTGAGGCGCATTGCCTTTTGATGGTGGAGGAAGAACACAACCACTGTGGCTAGTAGCTGCTGATAGCCCAGTTCTCCATGAAAGAGTCCACTTCACTGCATGCAGAAAGTTACTTTCATCAAACATGTAAAAGGACTATGTTCTTCTAGGGTATCTCCTAGAAACACACAAAAAATAGGGATCTTTTCTGCGACATAATACTGTGAGCAAATGGTGTATGTATGTAGATAGATAGACAGATAGATAGATAGATAGATTAGATAGATGATAGATAGATAGATAGATAGATAGATAGATGATAGATAGATAGATAGATAGATAGATAGATAGATAGATAGATAGATGATAGATAGATAGATAGATAGATATAGATAGATAGATGATAGATAGATGATAGATAGATGATAGATAGATGATAGATAGATAGATAGATAGATAGATAGATGATAGATAGATAGATAGATAGATGATAGATGATGATAGATGATAGATGATAGATAGATAGATAGATGATAGATAGATATAGATAGATAGATAGATAGATAGATAGATAGATAGATAGATGATAGATAGATGATAGATAGATAGATAGATAGATAGATGATAGATAGATAGATAGATTAGATAGATGATAGATAGATAGATAGATAGATAGATAGATGATAGATGATAGATAGATGATAGATAGATATAGATAGATAGCCATTGTTTCCATAGTCTCCCCATCCCATTTCCAGAAATGCTCACCTTCTTCATCACCTTGGGGCTGAGTCTCCAGTGCAGGAGCTGAAGCATCATCTGAATTCAGAATGGAAAAGATTTGCAAGGAGACTACAATTATGAGAGTAAGCTAAATAAGGGGACATACTTGATTGAGACTAAAAAAATGCATGTAGCCCAAGCCATCCAACACATAAGCAAATAATATCAGTGTTATCATATACATTAAAAAAAAAACAACCTTTCACATTTGAATGGTACAAGTGGGACCTTCAACAAAATTTTGCCCTGCCTGCATAGGAATCCCTTTCCTCTTCCCTCATTGGCTGTGTCTCCCCTGCCCCGCCAAGACTTCCAATCAGCAGTCTGTGCCTCTGAGCACACTCAGCCCTCATTGGGCTGTTGGGAGGTGGGGTGGATCTCCACTCATTTAGAAGGGTCTCCTGAAACATGCCAATATTTTTGTTTTTCATTTATTTATTAGATTTATATACCACCCTTCATTAAACGATTTCAGAGAGGTTCACAAGATAAATATCTCCCTTTTGTGCATAGATGGTGCCGAGGGAATGTTTCTTGATGCTCTGGCCAGTTTTGTCACTAAATCCAAAATGCATTTGCAGAGATTCCTGCTGTGTCAGAGAAAACTCGTTTATTTTATTTCTTATCATTTATACACTCCTTGATTCATAACTGCTTTGAGGGTTTTCTTTTACAAAGGTTCATGTGGGCAGATCCATACAAAAAGCCATTTGCCAAATAATAAAGAGAGACAGGAAAGAGTTTTATAAGTGTTCACGTGGCAAACGGGTTGTCTGAATAGTCTGTCAAGAGCACAAAGTGCTTTTTTTGTGAAATCACAAGTGTTGGGGTAATGCACTTCTTCAGTCTGTGCTCTGACCACACAATGCTGACCATCCGTTTTCTCTGTGCTCAGACCAAGCAATACAGACCATCCATTTTGTCTGTGTACAGTCTGAAAGAAATGGCCTGTATGCAGCAGCCAACTGGATTTACAGAAACCTGAAACAAAAGCAGAGTTTGGCACAGCAAAATCTGCTAATTCTTCTGCAGATTACACAAACAAGTTCTCTAGACAAGTTTTAATTTGCTTTCTTCCTGCATATTTCCTATACTCATGCTGCCCAACAAAGGAAATCACAGAATAGTAAAAATAGAAAGAGATTGATGTGTTGGTTCAAGTTAAGACCAAATGCCACAAAACCTTTGCAAAATCAAAGCACTTTGGGAAAACAATGCTTTCGTTATTTACATGAGGCGGGGGGGGGACAGTTTGTCTGAAATTCATCTTTTCACATAAGCAAGGATGGGGCATCTGACTGTGAGCCATGATGGCTAGGGCTGATGCAAGATGGCACTTCAGAAAGCTACAAGTTCTCCAGCCTTGGAAGAAAGACTAGAATAACTGGAATAAGACTCTTGAAACCTTACTGAAATGACCAGGGCTGTTGCCTGTGGACTGTGTTTCATCTGAAACTGTATATTGCTTGGATGCCGGGTAGCAGTCAAAACCAAAGCTGGTGTGGATTTTAAAACACCACTGTTTTAATCTGTTTTTATAGATAATTTCAGTGTTCTATTTTATATTCTTCTTTTTTATTCTTTTGAAGAATATAATAATATTAGAGTTTTTCTTTTACAATCAAGTGGTATATAAATTTTGATAACTAACCAACTAAAATGATGATGATGTTCCCCAAACAAAAGGAATGCACCGATGCAGCTGACTAAGTGATGTTTAAAAGGCCTTTCCAGTGTAGAGCAGGTGAGTCTCTCCAGAACCTTGCCATCATCAAGTCACAGTCCTGTACAGCAATAGTATACACTGCAACTGCACTGGCTTGTCATCAATAGTGGCCACTGCCAAAGAACATTAAGATGCCATGAGAATACCGACAGCATTCTATGTGAAGCTAGCTTGTGGGTAACTCAAGTAACCTCTCAAGGAAACAGCTGCCTCTGAAGAGTCTAGAAAGAGCCTGGTGTGTGTGTGTGTGTGTGTGTTGTGTGTGTGTGTGTGTGTGTGAGAGAGAGAGAGAGAGAGAGAGAGAGAGAGAGACTTTCTCTCATAATGTTCAAGCAATATTGTACAAAATGAGAGGAACACAGTATCTGGCAGACAAGAGAGAAAAGGCAAGAAGCTGACAAGAGGAAGCCAAGATTTTTTGGAGAGAGGACAGCTAGTCTCTTTTTGTGTGTACGGTGGCTGCGCTGCTGAGAAATTTGTTTGAATTTGTCGAAACAAATACCCTTCTGTTTGCATCAGATTCCTAAAAGGGTGCCACAGGGCCTTTTTACATCATGCAAGCAACTTCGTAAATCATTATTTCATGGCTGGTTTTAGATATTTAGCTGAGTTACTGGCATCTCCCACAGACTCCGCTTGCCAGCAAACATTTCTCAGGTAAGAATCACAGAGGTGTTTGCTAGGATTAATGCTCATCGGAGAGAGCATGATTTTTTTCAAGAATGCCAAAAATAATAATGATGAAGTAGTCGGTGAAGGGAAGGAAACTTGAATTTATTCAGCTTCTGCTCCTGCACTTCTGAGCAGATGACTAGCACTAAGAGAGCTGCTGCCCTTCTTTGCTGTGTCCAACACCCCCATTGTCACCTAACACCCCGGCAGCCTATGTAGTTGCTTCTGCCAGCATAACTTCCTTGGCAACTGCTCAGCTGTGCATGTGGTGGGGTGAAATCCTGACATCACTGCTGCTGGACAGGATTAGGCAGGGGTGGCTGTTGGGTTAGGGATTGTGAGGTTGCACCAGAAGAAGTACCAGAGTGGCAGTGGCAAGTCTCACTGGTGCAACCATCTGGCCCCCAACTTGCTGCTGACTCACCCCATCCCCATTCCTATCCAGGTGTCAGGAGAGTGTCTCCATCACACTGCAAGTTCTGCTGCTGGCTGTTCATAGAGTTGTGAGTTTGGGACGGGTTAGCTGAGTGCCCAAGTCCCTTCCAATTCCTAGATCCAACAAGGATGCAATAGCTGGAATAGCCAAGCCAGCTTCTTGGCAATGGCCCACTAAGTACGGGTTGCTAACGTAACAAAGGAAGTGGCTTTCTGCCATAAGCCCCTCCATCATAGACTCAGGTTGTATATATGTGCAAATCAACCATATATCCTAAAGACACCACAGTCTCCTTTGTCCCTCATTCCAAGGAAACTGAACTCTGTGTAAGTGCCTGGAACCTCACACTGCTTGGACATTAGGGTGGCATGCAACCATATATTTGCGTGGACAGGCAGAGACCCCCCCCAACCCCAAAGGGGGAGGATGTTGGGAGATTCCAAGGAATCTCCACTCGACTGGTGAATCCCTAGTGGAAGAATGACTCTGAGGTTAGACGGGAACCTCCAGGTATCCAGCGTGGGAGGGGGCAAAGCCAGGCTGTATTTTAGGGAGCCACATAGGATCGGAGGGGCTGCACGCAACCACACAAAAAATGCCCTCTATTTGATGTGGGGAGTGGTCGTTGTATGCACAAAAGTATATTGGTGATGTCTAAAGAAACATACATGGAAATGTACAAAAAGGCTCCCTTGACCTGCTAAGATTCCTGCATTCAGGGGGTTCGACTACACAACATTTGGGGTCACTTCCGACTCTACAATTCTATGCTTCTATGAAATACAGATGCACAAATTACATAAATATGAACATTTTTATAATGGAGGCAACAAAGCATCATGTTTTATATTTGTGGACTTTAAGATGAGGGCGAATTTTTTTTGGGGGGGTGCAAGACATTGCTGGGAGAAGAGGCCCACAAAATCCTAAATGCAAATAATACTAATTCTAATCCTATGTCCAACTTCAGTTTGACACTAAAAATATAGTGTGTGTTTTTTTTTAAACTGAGTGCCTTTTAAAGGTCTGATAACATTACATGGAATACTTATAGCTGATCCCTGCAAAAACTTTCAAGGCAAAACATGCTGATCATACAAAACACATGTTGGCTCTGACTGGCAACTGGGATCCCAAGACACCCCTTAAACATCATTCAAGATGTTTGAATGGTGAACATTGCGAAGTATTAAGCCTAACAGTAATTCTGCCATGTTTAGGTAAATAGGGTCTGGCAGCTGATTGGCCTCCGTGGCAGGAGTTGGCTTTGTAAAGTTTCCAGATTCACACCTGGTTTTGTTCCATATATATCAGGCACTGTTTGTAGCTGGGGGCAGGTGATAAAACTTATTCATTGCTGCCCAGCCTGAAAATCCAGGAAACTTTTAAAGATGGGCACAGCGCATGCTGGCTACACAAAGTGCCAAAACAACAAAATTTATGATCTGTATTGAGTTTCTTCAGAAAGTTATGAACACCTGGAGCCTACGCATTTGCCTGGCAAATGTATCAAAGAAAGATTGTCCTCGAGTAATATATGCATAATTTATATTACTCAGTTTAAACAGCTACTGATTCTTTTCATAGGAGTAAAACATAAAATGGCAATTATTCCTAAGGATCCTGTGCAGGATCATAAATTAAGGATAGTTACATAATTTCCCATCTGTCACATATCCTTAGCTTGGGCACTTAGAGGGAGGGAAAAACCCCACACATATTAAATATAGTTGAATATGCATTACCATTAATCTTGGCGCTAATGCCACCGACTACAGTGGGAGGTAAACTGGTCCAGACATATGAATGATTTTAGCACCAGCACATAAAAAGCTATAAGGATATATCATTAATAATAACAGTAACTGCTTGGCTCTGAATATGATCCATCAGTTTAAATCATTACAATAACTCATTGTAAGAGAATTTAACCTCAGTTGCCACAGTGATGGATGAAATAATGGCACTGACATTTTGATCCTAAACCAAAATTGGCCTTACATAAAGATGCAGAATGGTCTGATGCACTAGGATGAGAGTTAATAGAGACTTTTTAAAAAAACAACAACACAGCAATGCAACAATTTAATGGAGAATCTACTTTTGATACAATTGATATTTTGAAAGTAGAAAAGGTTTAATCTCAGATGAGTTAGAAACAATTGTCTTAGTTCAAGGAGGAAAATCCACAGCTTTCCATTCCCATTTGCATAGCAATACTTATTTGGGCTGCTCTACTGAAATGATGGCTGAGGCCAGTAACTTAGACAGGAATATGGAGTGCTGTTTTTTAGAAAAAGAGGTGTCAGAACTCACCATGAATTCCTCCCTTGTTGTCTTATAATTTCAATGGCTCCCACCTGAGAGGTGCAGGAACTGAGTTCCAGCAAGTTCTGGTTGGGGAGGGGAAGCCCTGGGAATATGGTCATATGTCACTTATACATGACTAGTTCCAGGTGTGTAGAACTGAAATAATTAGGTTGGATGTAAAAAATAATTAATTCCAAAGGATGAAATGTCAGAGTACACAATGGAAGTCCACAAAGGGGAAATATGAAAGTAGAGGATAATGCATTTTTTAACTACCTCATTAGGTAACTAATCCTGTTGTCTGGAAGCATTTAGGATGCCCCTATATGTGGCTGCATAGGGACACGTGTGAGCATCCTGTTGCCTGCCCTGAAAGGCTTGAGTACTTTTCTGAATGTCCAATTAGAACAAGAAGATCAGGGAATGTTCACAAAGTATCGTCCCAGGTGGGATATCTCTCTCCAAGGCGGGAAATAATTTACTGCGCCTTGAGGCAGGGGAAAGAAGCAGCGGCAGTCACAGGACATGGCTAGCACAGGTCCTGCTTGCCTCAATCATGCTCACAAACATTCAAGCAGGGTGCTCACTTTTGCTCAAATGCTTGTAGCTTTATATTCAAATGTGTGAATCTTTGCTACATCCCTTAGATAGTCACAGGACAACTGTGCTTCAAGGTTGTGGGGAAATGTGACAGTCATCTCAGGGCAATACAGTGGTGGCCCGCAAGACGAATGCCTCGCAAGACGAAAAACTCGTTAGACGAAAGGGTTTTCCGTTTTTTGAGCCGTTCTGCAAGACGAATTTCCCTATGGGCTTGCTTCGCAAGACGAAACGTCTTGCGAGTTCTTGCGAGTTTGTTTCCTTTTTCTTAAAGCCGCTAAGCCGCTAATAGCCGCTAAGCCGCTAAGCCCTTAATAGCCGCTAAGCCGCTAAGCCACTAATAGCCGTGCTTCGCAAGACGAAAAAACCGCAAGACGAAGAGACTCGCGGAACGGATTAATTTCGTCTTGCGAGGCACCACTGTAATGTTCGATAGCTCTGGGACTCTTCCGTTCCAGGCTGAGTGAAAGCAAAAATATGAATACTGCTAAGATAACGTTAATACATCTGCTTGTCCGTAGGCATCCAACCTTATTTTTATTTGCAGTAGATTACCCCACAGGAATGTGCTCCAGCTTGCTGTTTAGAATGTCAGGCAGGAATATTTTTCAGGAGATTTATATCTATGGAAATCCACCAGGATGTGGCCTCTACTTGCCAGCAGGTTTACACCCAAAACTAAATCAAGTTAGCTGCTTTAAACAACAGGCTGGTTAGAGTCTTGGCATTGAACTAGGGAGACCCAGGGTCAAATCGCCACCAATCCATCAAGCTCACTGGGTAATATTCAGCCCGGTATTATCTCCTATCCTATCCTAACCTACCTCACAGGGTTGTTGTAAGGATAAAGTGGGGGAACATACAAGTAAGCCCTGAGCCTACCATATCAAGCGGAAACATGTCTTTGTCATGTTTAACTAGACATGGCAAAAAACATTGCAGGCAAATGTATATCACCTTAATCAGGGCAGACTGTGCCAATTGTTCCCTGCGTGCAGTGGAGATATATCCAGAGAAAAGCAGTTGGTGCAGACCTATCATTAAAGCAATGGCTGCCTAATTTTCTAGGAATGAATGGTGTCGGATCTCACAGAATCATCTCTGTGCCCAGGCTTATCCTGTGCGGCTTCTATCAGGCAAAAGACATGTCCATAGTCAATGGAGAGGAAATTCCCTATTTCATTATAAGATATTTACCTGTTTTTCCTGTACCTTCACGTTGTGGCAGCTTCTCATTTAGGGAACCTAAAAGGTTGGAGGAGGGGGGGGGGAAAGGTGAATTAGAGGAGGGGGAAGCCGATGTGTGATCAAGAGCAGACCCACACAGTGGGTGGGATTCATTTAACAAGCCCCGCCAGTGGAAGCTCTGTGCAAAGATTGCCATTTGTACAATGATACTTCCCACCCTCTTCCCTCATGCTCCCAAAACTGACTCCCCCAGAACAGTGCATGGGGGAGGAGAGGGAGATCATTCTGTCTGGCAAGCTGAAATACTTGTGCAGACAGAGCATTCATCATAGCATGACCATTGATTTCCACCTTATACTTTTAAATCACAGTCAGCACACTTCTAAAGGACATGACTTCCTTCAAAGAATCATGGGACTTAGCATTTTCCCCTTGCACAGCTAACATTCCCAGCACTCTTAGAAAACTACAGTTCCCAGGATTCTTGTGGGAAGCCATGTGTTTGCAAAATGCACACTGTCAATCTGCCCCAAGGAGAGCGAGTTGGCAACTTTGGCAAGGTTGTGGTAATATATAAGAACTGAGGAGGGAAAGCAAAACAAATGATTCTGTGAAGCACTTACAGGATGCTGTTCACAACTCCTATAGTGCTAAGCGCATGAGGAAAAAACTATGCAGAAGCAAAGATTTTTGCACACAACTTCAGGGGAAACGTTAGCTAACAACAGGGTGTACATACATCATGTTTTCCTGCAACCATTTAACACCTGTTTCTAAATTTCCGTTCCGTCTCCCAAGGGCTCAGTGGCTCTGGAATTTCTTTCAGTTCCCTAAATGTTGATATCTTGACTTAGGGAGCAGTAAAAATGTCTGTGTTGCATCTGGTACTTTTCAGCAGACAGTTTGTGGGGGATGGGAGTATTTATCTTTATGCTGTCTTTATGCTGCCAGGAGAGCACATTTGATTACTCTGTACCTCTCAAGTTGACTGATTTTCTTACAATAGTAGACTAATGGGGGCAGGGGGAGCACTGGAGAACCTGTGAACTGTAATAATGCTTAGCGCCCATCGTCTAAGACTGGGGTGTACAAAGTTGATTTTAATATTGGTAGCCTAACTGTTTTTCAAAGGTGGATCAATTCTAGCAAACACAGCATAACCTCATTTATCCAAACAGCCTTGTCCAGGAAACAGTGGGAACATGCAGATAACAAGGAGTTCAGATGCACAGGAATGTTGCATCCATAGAGTTACACTGTGACCTACGTGAGCTCATGTGGAAGGCAATGAGTTAGATAACAAATAACTGGGATTTCAGTTAATCTGCAAGAACAGTGTTGAAAGAGTTCAGTGGGTGGCATAATGCAGACAGACGTGAGTGAATCTAGTGAGGATTCGGGGGGATGCCAACAAGGTGTGTAGTTTAGCTACAGGCAATTTCTAGGGGTACATCCAAGGCCATGAAAAACCCACTGAAGGAACAAAATGTATGAGAACTGAAAGCAGGATTCACCTTATGTAGGGTTGCCCTGTGTCCAGAATTTCCTGGACATACCCAGAATACTGCAGCCAAAAGCAGTGTCCAGGCAGTTTATCAGGGATAATCCGGATGTATGGCAACCAATGTCTGCAAAGCTATTTTTGCTGATTTCTCTCAAAAAATAGCTCAAAAATGTCCAATTTATTTGCGATTTGGCAAGCTCAACAACTTTTCTGTCCAGATTTTCACTTTTTGAAATATGGCATCTCTACCTAATGAGTCCTATTAGTGCAAGCCCAGCATGAGGTCTTCCACCTGTGCGATGGGTTTCCGCCCCCCCCCCAATGATCCAGGTGCACTGAAATTGGCTCAAACTAGGGGAGAACCCTTAGACTAGTGGTAGGGGGAGAGGAGGGATTGTTCAGCAATGTTGAATTCCACCTACAGTCTATTGTATCACACCAAACCAAGTAATTAATTTATCTTCTAGGACCCTTGCAGAGGAAGAATATAGGATGTTTTCACCAACTCCATAATGTAATGAATTTTAAATTAATATTACACAAATAAAGCTTATTTTTAAACATGGATCATGTCCATGTTTTGTGCAAGAAACACAAAGGGAGCCGGGGGGGGGGATGAGCTTCAACACTAATTTGATATATCCACCCTACCACCCAAGTAAGTATCATGGATGACCAAATATAAATATAAAACAGCCTGAATTCTGGCTCGTAAAGCATCCAATAGTAAACCCATCAGTTTGAGGTTTTTGTGAAGCCTCAAGGCTTTGAGTTAACTCAGAAGTTCAATGCTCTCCACAGTTAAAAGGGGTGAACTTTGACTAGATCGTGCCCACTTAAGGATTTAAAAATGCACTGGATTTATTGGAACACCTTCATCCACATATGTTTTTTATCACTGTTGCCCACAGTTCCTGAGCCCATTGATCTGACAATTATTCTCTTTGTGAGAGGCGGGGGCTAAGATCTGGGAACCAATTTTATTTGCATATCAAAAGGCAATTCTAGGCAAATTATCTACTAGAGTAACCAAGGCAGTTTCTGTCCCCCCCCCACCCAAAAAAGCCAAAACCAAACTAGAAGGGATCTTGATAATCAGTATAATCAAAGAAAGCCTGGAGTTGACTAGCCACTAGCCACTTGGGGGAGGGAGTAGTATTTGATACTGCTTGAATGATAATCATCCAAATCTAAGTGACCCAACAATAGGTTTTTCCATAAGGCATGTACCACCACCTCTTTCAGTATCGATGGAACATGCCTCTCATTCAGAGATGTTCATTGCCCCAGTTTTCAGATATCTAGCCCCAGAAGCTACCATAGACAAGAGTGGGGGAAAGTGAGGTGGGACAGTGGGGGAAAAGAAATGCAGGGCCACCTTAAACCTTCTTAAACCTTGACACTGTGTTGGAGCTCCAAATGCCCCCATAAAGTTGTGTTTGGGGAATCTTAGGACTCAGAGGTGAAATATGGAATTGGCTGTTTGGCTTGCAAGACTGCAGACTGAACGGTGGGTTGAATTTGGGATTGAATTTGATCCCATGTGGGCCTGACCTAAATATCGGTCTGAGGTCATTTAGGTTTTGCACGGAAGATCTATAAAACTACAGTCTTCTTTTAATGACTTCAATAGGAAGTTAGATTGCTGTTTGAAGTACTGTTGGCTATTACGTTGGGACATGAGGTTCATCCAAATCCAAAGTTCATAACTCCACTCAAATGATGGGAAACCAAACCACATGGAATCCAAGAAGGAAGAAAAATCATCTAATCCAGTGTGAGGCTTAAAAGCCAACCTTAACAGAGAATTAGTTGAGCTTTTCAGGAAAGCTGAAATGTCTATCTGTGAGTGTAGGAAATTTCCATTACTGCACCAGATGTAGGATCTTTTCTTTCCCGGTAAATGATATGTTTATAGCAGGATTAAAACAGTCAAATAAAAAGTTGAACTGATTCTTTAAAACATGATATATGTTTTTACCTGGGCAACGTGGAGTTTTATGTGCTACGGCTGTACCACTGATGGGACGACCATTGGAAGTGACACACCAACAGTAGCCTGTGTAGCTGTGGCACTGAACCTATCAGAAAACAACACAAAGTATATGTAACAGAACATGCACAGTTTAGCGTTTCAAATTTTCATTAAAAACAGTTTTATCAATTAGCTACTATACTCTGCCATAATCCTCTATATTACCATTTAAGGTAAAGGGATCCCTGACAATTAAGTCCAGTCGCGAACGACTTTGGGGTTGTGGTGCTCATCTCGCTTTACAGGCCAAGGGAGCTGGTGTTTGTCCGCAGACAGTTTTTCCGGGTCATGTGGCCAGCATGACTAAGCCACTTCAGACCTAATACCCAGAGTTTTATCTAGTGTCAATGACCTCCACCCCCCCCCACCCCCGTAGGACATGGGATGCAATCTGGGACTCAGCTGAGAGGGGACAAAACCTGATGTTCACCCCAGACTTTGGAAATCAACAAGGACACATTTAGTCTTTAACTGTACTTTCAAAGCGTAATCATGTACTTTCTCACAGATGGACAGGAAAGAGCTGGAGAAATATCGCTTCATAATGTTGTTGACTATAGTCAAGTGTGAGACCCACACGTCACACAGTTCACTGGCCTTAAGCTAAGAGTTCAGGTCTGACTTTCCCAAGTTTATAAAGGCATATATATTCCTTTTAGCTGTTTTAAAATATGAATTGTGACATCAGAGCCAACACATAGTTACTCTAAGTCAGAAAAATGAGGTATTGCAACCAAATGCAACAGACATAAATCTGAATTGATAGACATGCCAGATAAAGAGTCAAGAGTTTTCGGCCAACCTGGCTGTAAGTGCCATCATCGTTGCATTCTGGAATAAACACTTGCTGGAACTCCTTGCGTGCTTGTTCCTGAGTGTACTTCCTCTCTGCCACACATCTTGAAAGATCTAAAGAAAGGGAGGGGGGAAGCAATACAACGTTAGTGCCTCTGTACATCAGAATACCATAAAATAGAATAGGTGTGAGTGATACCGAATCCATAGGCTGGCTCTGCACAGCTTCCTGTGGGTTGTCAGTTTTCTCCTTGAATATTCAGAGCAAGTCTTCAGCCAGGAAAATTGAGGAAACACCCAAAAGGAATATAATACTCATCCTCTGATCCAAATGACCATGAAGTATACTTTGCAAAATTGTATGGATCCTTGCTCCATTTTTGCAATAACAACAGCCACACATGCTGTCTGATCGGCCTTAATGTACCAGAAGGCCTCCCCCCCCCCCCCCGGTACTGAATATAACTATGCCTCTGAAATATAGCTTGCTTGAAAAAACAACAACACATATCTCATTTCTGGTTAATATTTCTCTGTCATACCATGTTTCATACATTTGGAGGGGGGGTTGAAATAGAAATGTGTTCATCTTGAAATGCTCAAGCATATATTGAATCAAGCAGCAGTCCCCCTCACCCATTAAGTTATTCTCTGGCTCACAGCTTACATAAGGGGACAATCGGACCAGAAATTATTAAAAGAATGGGGTTGTGCTAAAGAGTATATGAAAAAACATTGTTCTGGAGTTAGTATATTGGTATGTAATGAATGATGCTTTACAGGGTTAAAGAAAAAGAAAAATGGTGTAAAAAAAAAAAGTACCAAGGTGGAAGTAATCTAATTAGACACAACAATACAGTAAGAGTAAATTTTTTGAGGTCTTAGAACAAAGAAAGGAAGTCAATTTGTGTTTATGTACGTAATGATATGGGGTTTTTTTTCCCTGTAGATGTGTGCTTTTTCGTTTTTGTTTAGTTTAGTTTTGTTTCCTTTGCTTTTTTTTTTCCTTTTCTGTTTTTTCCCCCTATATGTTCCGGGGATTTTTGTTTGTATAGTATTATTTTGGATTCAATGTTTGTAATTTTTGTTAAGATTCTGCATTGAAAATAAAAAAAAATAAAAAAATAAAAAAGAAAGATTAAAAAAAAAGTTATTCTCTGGCTTGGGTCTTAATCTGAGCCAGAAAAGAACCCCCTGACCTTGATTCTCTGTCCCCTATTCACATATCTGTTCTGACCATGGAAACTGCAACAAGAGTAGCAGCAGAGAAGGAGCTATAAAATGCCTCCCACCCCCCACCCCCCAGATGCCAGAGACACTGGCAAATGCAGTTTTCTACATCTTCCAGGGTCACTGAGACACTAAGATTCCAGAAAGAAGGAAAAGGAGAAAAATGGCTGTGGCCTTTCAGTACTTCTGCTGTTGCTACTTCTGTAACTGCCACTAGACTGGGAAAATGACAAAGAAATATGGTCATCAGAAAGGGCAGTGCTTAGGCATGGAGTGGGGGAAGGATTAGGGAACCATGGTGTGCTCCTGATGATGTCATCAGAAGGACAGCAGAATTCATGAATTTTGATCTAGGCATGAAAAATCAAAGCTGTATTTCCAGTCTTCCAGGAAAATAGTTGACTTTACCAGCACCAGGACCACAGGAATTTGCCCAAAAGGAAAGAAAAAAACTGCACTTTTGCAAGCATCATATTTAATACTGTAAAGACTTCTATAGCCAATTCCTGTTACTGTAATTAAGTACTGAACTATTAAAGTCCATTATGAATATAAGATCTGAACACCAAGTAGAAATCAAATGGATTCATTAACTAGCAAACATACTTAATTAATGCTGTAAAAATATCTGATTCTGTGATGAGTTCCCTGCTCCACTGGATTCACAGTTCAACTTACTTTGAAATCCTATGAAGCCTATCCTGAAATCCTTACCCCATCATTCTCCACCCCACCCCCCCACCCCTGCCCCAACAGGACTAGGTGTTTTCTTTCAATACTTGCTTCTGTTAAAACTGTTGAGTATAATTGGTTTAATTGACACTAAAATGGGAATGTCTATCTGTATTGGTGAAAGGGTTTAACTGGTATGTTCCATTGAAGCTAAAGTACAACAAGAAGTGCTCTCTCTCTCAGCTTTAACTGAGTTGATAATTAATTAATTGTTGTTCTCTAGCAGCTAACATGTGAGTGATTAACCTTAGATCATGTGAGAACAAAGAAAAGAGCCACCACCCTCTCAAGATGGCGAGGCTCCATGGAGTAGGGATGGAAATGAAGCTCTCCAGGTAAACAGCTCCAAGCTAAAGGGGCTGGAATGCAGGAAATGAAGAGACACAGACAGACAGACAGACAGACAGACAGAGACAGAGCGAGAGCGAGGCTGCTATGTTTATCAGCTCTGATTACGTTAAAGTTATTTCTAATATGCTGAGCCTGTGCTGGAGACCTCAAGTTATTGTATGGATATTTTTTATGTGTCTTTGATGGTTTTGTTTTTGAAGGTAGTTCTGCAAGTAAATATTTAATTAAACCTATGGCCTTGGTAATGTTTTTCTTCCAAAAGGACTCAGTTACTGTGCATCTAGTCACTTCAAACTGCAACATTAATATCTGTCATAAAAAGTGCACTTCGTTTTCTTGGACTCCCCAGACTCCATGAGTCCTTTTAAAGATATTTGGGAGGGCTTATTACATACACATATATGCAGTGTTTTTTTTCTTTAAAAAATAAAATGTTTAGGGGTACTTTCATTTCGACTCAAGAAAATCACCATTTTATAGCTCAAATCGGGAAAAATAAATACAGTAAATGGACAAAAGTACAAAGAATCACAAAATGTTTAGGGGTATGCTTACCTCTGCATTCCCACAGAAAAAAGCACTGCATATATAGAAGTTAAAAGGCTTATAAAGCCTGTGCTTGAAACCGCAACACTGGGGGAATTTTAAAAAGTTCAGTTTAAATATGGACAACATTTAATGACAAATTTCTGCTTTCCAAAAAATGAAACTTCCTACTCTCATTAGAAGGACATTTTGGTTTTTGGAAGGAAAACTCCCTCATATCTGAGGCATCTGATGAAGTGGGCCCTAGTCCATCAAAGCATCTGCCACAATAAATCCATTCATCTTTAAGGTGCCATGAGACACTTTTTTCCTATAAAGGCCAGTTTCTTAAATTCACACCAAAGGCTCTTGCTGTGGTTGGGCTGTGCTGTGATAGTCAACTGCCAATGTTTTAAAAAGAATAAAATACAACTGCTTTGCCCAGCTTTCATACCGTACGCCTTATCCTAAGCTTATAAGTTTGCTTATACATTACTTACTAGCATGTGGTTTTAATGGAGAGAGTGTTTCAACTGAAAATAAATCTCTCCTTTGGTGGACTTCTGTCTTCATTTTTAGTGCAGCATGTGGTTTAAATGTCAAAAGGAAAAGTGATCTAAATTCCAGGACGCGAGGGCTCCAATCCTCGACGCACTTTGTCAGGAGCAAGCCCCACTGAGATGCATTGCGCCTATTCTCCCAAAGAATGTGTGAAGGATTGCATCCAAGCTCTCTCATACAAGGCTGATAGTATTATAAATCAGTTCTTATATTGGAATTATCACTGAAGGGTGCCAGAGAGATGAATTCCTACAGATTTCTCCTGACTGAAACATCCTTCTTTGCAGTCTATCTAATATTCCAGGAGTTTACAGAAAGTTAAATCTGATGGAACATGACACCTGCAGTCTAATGTTTCTGGATTTATTCAAGCACAGTGTTATGTACTGAACTTGGATCCTAGAACAATAGGCAGGTAGGATCCTAGAAGGCAGCAACCTGATTGGTCTGCAGGAGCCGCCCAATCCGGCTCCAGGAGGAAGTGAATCAACAACCTGATTGGCCTACAGGAACAGTCAATCACATGGGACTCATTGTGTAAATAATGTATATATAGTCAGAGGTTTGGGGGGAAAGCACTCACTCACTGTTTACCATGAGCTGAAATAAAGAGCATGAAATCAATACTCAACCCCAAGTATATTTCACACAGGAAGCTGCCTCCTACTGTCATGGAGCTGAAGTGCGTGTTTCTACCTCCAGACAAAGAATGTTTCAATGTTGCTCTTCTGCCTGTTTAGGGCAGGGTGGAGAACCTGTGGCCCTCCAGATGCTGTCGTACAACAGTTCCCACCATCTGTGACCATTGGCCATGTTGCCTGGGGATGATGGGAGTCCAACAACATCTAGAGGGCCATAACTTTCCGATTCATAGTTTGGGGCACTGCTTTTCAAATGCAGGTGTATATTAAAGGTTCATCAGATTTCCTCACATTTAGTTTTATGGAAAGTTCCACATCTTGTCCTCTTCATGAACCAACCGTGAGCTGGATCATATCCCTTAGCTTTACAGTGAGGTCCAGCACTGAGAGCCTTCTGGCGGTTCCCTCACGGCAAGAAGTGAAGCTACAGAGAACCAGGCAGAGGACCTTCTCAGTAGTGGTGCCCACCCTGTGGAACGCCCTCCCATCAAATGTCAAGGAAATAGACAACAATCTGACTTTTAGAAGACATCTCAAGGTAGCCCTGTTTAGGGAAGTTTTTAATGTTTGCTGTTTTATCGTGTTTTTAATATTCTGTTGGGAGCCCCCCAGAGTGGCTGGGAAAACCCAGCCAGATGGGCAGGGTATAAATAATAAGAAGTTGTTGTTGTTGTTGTTGTTGTTGTTGTCTGGTTGGATTTGTGCATTTAATCCTAGGTATCTCATTGAATGGCAAAGGTGAAAATACATGTTTTTACAAATGGACTTGTTTCAAAGATGGGTATTTTTCCCCTCAGCAAGAAAATTCCATACAGGCCAGGCCCCATTTAAATGGGGCAAAGCAAACTTACTCTGTTTTCTCTAGGCCAGTGAGTATTCATGTACAAGATATTATACTCATTTCTGCAGTTATCTATCTTTCTATTTTATAAACAGAAATTCCTACTCAACAGATCAAAATAATACTTATCACTGAGAAAAGACTACTTAGAAAGTGATTAAAGTGAAATGTTTGAAGTAAAATTTACCCTAAGGGCAAGCCACAGACGCTTAGCTGTTCTTGAACCAAACGTA